AATTGAAAATAATATGAGGGAAATTGAAAAAAATCTTGAAAATAAATTAAATCATAATAATGAACAGATGTTGATTCAAATGCAAAATTTATTGAATGAGATTAAAAGTTTAAAAAAATAGTTATTATTCCATTAAATGTTATTTATTTTGAAAATGGTTTTATTCATTTCACAGAATTTTTTAAAAAAAAGTTACAAAATTTTCTTTGTAATAGATGTATAATAGGGTAAATTTTATATTATGTAGCGAGGAAAATATTTCTAGACATTCATGTTAATAAATCAAAATATTATTATTACATTATGAATAAGAGCTTGTTTAACAAATGGAAAAACACATATAAATCACCCTGACAAGAGACTTCCATTGGATCTTTTTGATAATGAGAGAGTGTTGTCCAATATATATTGACTGTGTTGGTTGTGTAGGTGTATAGATTCTTGAGAAGGTAAAGTGGAACGAAAAGTTGAGAGCAGTCTGGATGTACAGCAGTAATAATAGCAATTGTTGAATGAGGATCCCGAGGTTTTATAGTACACAGTTGAATGACTAATGAATCCTCACAAATTTGTGTATGATGTTTCTAACTGACTAGGTTTGGACAATCTCAATGGCATGTTGATTAGTGTCAAAGTACATGGTGCAGTTGAGTGTATCAACCCATCATGTATGTATTTCATTCAAGTGTGGCTACAATATCTTCTATGCTACTTCCTCATCTCTACAAGCATGTCCTTTTGTATTAGAATTAACTTCCATACCAGCAGAATTGATGAATGTGATCGGGCATTTACTTTAAATTGGGTGTTTGTAAAGTTCTTTAGCAAACAAATGTTTTTAGATTTTAAAATCCACATTTCTTCATCTTTTACGGACTTTGAAACGCTTTCATTGGCATATTTTGAATGAACAGAATTGGAATCATGACATAGCAAACGTTTTCTTTCTTTCTTGGATTAATTAAATAGCCATGTCCAATGGTTGTTCTTGAGAAGTGTATAATCAAAAGTCATATTAATATTACTTCTGGTGAAAATTTTCAACACCAATTAATTAATCATTGAAAATTTTCCATGGCCGATTAACTGGATAATCGGTAAATAATCGTTGAATGTCATTCAGCGAATACAACCACTAATATTACTACTGAATCTAAATAAAATCGTCAAACTTATTGCCATTGCTTTCGATCTGGAATCAAACAGTAGGAGGAGCTAAGGCATTCCAATTATCCTTCAAACTTAAATTTGCTACTGTGATAAGTGATTATGGATTTCAAGTTGGTAATACTAATGTCATATTTCAATCCTAGGTGACGGAGCTTATTTTGATATTTTCCAAGATGTCAATATGTTGTTAATGGTGGATTGTAATAATATTCTTGCAAGACATCCTAGTTTTGGCCCCAGTTGTGTCTATCGGAACGTAAAAAAAGGTGTTAGTTGAAAAACCATCAGGTCAACTTTTGTGCACCTTACCTTAGTTTTACTATTAGCCCAACAAGAGTTTGTAATATTGCCACAGTGATTTCATTTGCTCTCCAATTTGTTCACTTTGCTGGTATGTCCATGTGATTCAAACATAATCATGGTTGATGCTGTCCCTGAAACAAAATGAAACAATATTTTTCATCTGCTAGCCATATAGAACATGACATTTGCCGAATTTACATTGTATTTTTGGTGAATGTTCATGATCTTATCAGTCACTCACTAGTTCTCGGAAAGTTACACTCCCATGATCTCTTCATGACAAAATTGACAAAAGTACTCTTAAATCATGTTATCCTTCCAAACCCATAAGTTGTGCAGGTTTTTCTCTTTTTACATCAGTGTCGTGACCCGAAACTCTGAGTTTAGGGAAAACCAGAAACAGAAACTAACAGAAACCACCTGAAACTAGTTTAGGTTAGTATTTTATGTTTAGTTTTGGTTTTGGTTTTGGTTTTCTGCTTAGTGTAAGTTCATTTACCGAAACGTTTCGGAAAGCCAAAAGAGTTTCTGGTCACAACACTGAAGGGAACATGGTTCTCCATTTGATGGTTACAATGGTGTAATCTGGTACTTCATGACCAAATTATACAATGTTTTTCCATGATGGAATCTCTGCATGGATTACATTAAGTGAGATGTTTCTTTTTTCCATGTAGGTAAAACAGTGCATGTGGATCATTCCATGATTTCGAAAATTGTCATGTTTAAAGAAATGCTCTAATTTACCATTCCAGTGTCCTTGTTCTGGCATATTTTGGTAGTGCAATGGTTGATTGCTTAGCATGGTGTTTCCATTCCATGTGAGTGAGTCCATTTGTCTTTGGCCATCATCAAGGTGTAGAAGATCTGAGGAAGCCTTTACACACTTATTTCTTTTTAAAAAAGGGGAGAAATTCAATGGAAAGGTTGTGGTTTTTGATGGATATTTCTCACATTTACATTTTTTGGTGGCCAGTATCTGGTTCTAATTTTGAAAATTTCTTCTCTAAAGCAACAATGTGACTAGTACCAATACAAGCAGGACCTAGCTATATATTGAAGGTGGCATTTTTTAATGTACTCATGGTGTCCATTCCTATTGGGGGAAACATCAAAGACTCCAGATCAGGGTTTCTAAATAAGACCAGAAGTTTGGTATTGTTTGATTCAACAAATCCTACAATCAGTATACTGTAGTTTGTGTCTGTTGTGTATTTTTGGAAAAAAGAATCATTTGGGACAACCAAATTTGGAGGATGGGGAACCTCTTCCAGAAGTTGAATGCAATAATAGTTCAACAAGCAAGTTGAAATGATTAGATGTGGGCTTTTTATTTGATAATTTAGGTATAATTTTTATTATATTTAAATTATTCAGATATATATGTATTAAATTTTAAAATATTTAATATTAATAAATTATTTATATATTATATGATATATTGATAGTGCATCACTTCAACTTGTCAATATTATAAAAAAATGAAACCATTGATTTGAAAAAGTAAGAAACAAACTATACTGCAATTATGTATGGTATGATAATAATGATTATTAAAAATTCTTCTATTTTTTTTGTCAAAAATCATTATTTTTTATTTAGTTGCATATTTGACATCCAAATTTCAAAATGAAAAAAAAATTTGAAGATATGATACTTGCAGGAAGTTATTAGCTTTATATAATACAGTCCCTGGCGAAAGTAATGGCACGAATATTCGATTTACTTATTCAGGCATGATACCATAAAACATTCATTTATAATGTTTATTTGTCATTGAGTCGCGTAAATAGATAGTAACCATAAAAGTAAATAAAAAAAATAATGATCGTCATCAGTGTTTTTTGTTTACTTTACCTTGCAAAATGTCTTCGAACCCTATTAAAGCCAACCATAATGCCGTTAACTTTCTCTGGAAGCAAAATATTCGCACTCCGAAAGAAAACTGGATCCCATTACGTACATGTCAACGATACATCACCATATTAAAAAAAAAAATGGAAAAATTCCGGAAATTCACCGGTCAGGTGATCTGCGAAAATTATCACCAGAAAAACGGTGCCAACTCGGAATGATCGTCAAGAGTAACCACTATAGGACCGCCATCGAAATGAAAGCTATTTTAGAAGAAAAATACCAAGATCTTGAAGTTAGTAAGAGAACTGTTTGCCGTGAGCTTTCCAACCTCGGTTATGTTGCTACTCTTCCCAGAAAAGTTCCTCTTCTAACAGAACAAGCAAAGATTAACCGCTTGTCATGGGCACAAGATCATGTGCATTACAACTGGAAGAAAGTTGTTTTTTCAGACGAAACAACTATCTAGTTTTCGCAATACGATGCTAGCATGGTCTCGTGAAAAGAAACCTGTCCAGCCTATGGTAAAACATCCCCTTAAGGTTCTTGATTGGGGCGCAATCAATTTTAAAGGGAAGGTCGGTATTCATATCTTCACTGAAAACCTTGACCGCCACCTATATCGTAAAATTTTAAATGAACAACTTTACAATAATGCTGATGCATTAGTAGGTGGCCAATGGGTCTTTCAGCAAGATAACGACCCTAAGTATACATCTAGGGATGTTATGAATGATCTGAATACCCGCCTTCCAAGGCGTGTTCTTGCCTTGCATTCACATAGTCCAGATCTCAATCCTATTGAGAATATATGGGCTATTTTGAAGCATAATGTTGAGAAACATGTCAAAAAAATGATAGCAGAAAAAAAAAGGTTTCAAAAATAAATTTATCGGTATTATTAGGGAGGAATGGGAGGGAATCGAAAAAAACTTCATAGTTAATAGCATTGGTAGCATGCAAAATCGGGTTCAAGCGTGCATCGATGCTGAAGGAGCTCATACCAAGTAATAACACCATAATCAAAGTTATAGCCATACTATTTGGCTTTAAGAAAAAAAAAATTTTTTTAAAATTTTTAATAAAATACATTTTTCATTCATAAATATAAATAACCAAATTAATCTAAATATTTATATCCATTAGATGAGAAACTATAAATATGATAATTTATAACATAATAATGTTAATGTTAATTTTAATAAAAATGAAAATAATCAATGATTGAATGTCAATAATTACCATTATTATTACTAATAATTGTTACTTTATTGGAATTCACAGGTTGGGGAAGGTTTGTAAAATTTAATAATCTGCTAGTATAAACTGCAT